ATGCCTAAGCCTTTTAAGATAAAACTCTTTATTTTGTTGCATATCCACATTAGCTGTAGGCACAACCAGAAGAGTGAGGAAGGCAAAGTTTTAAGATGTCTGATGCTGGAGAAACCTGGACATTACCAAAATACTTGTTATTAATCATATATAGGAAACAAATGCGGTGAATCTGTAACTCATACCAGGCAGCAGGGTTTTCAGATCTCCTTAATTTTTAGGGGCAGTAGGGGCTAGAGACATCTCGTGTAATCATACACCATGCCATGCAATTAGAGAGCAACAAAGTTAAAGACTGTACTCCTAAACTGATACATTTGTGTATCAGAGTAACAGGATAGCAGAACTCCTAACACTTCTTTCCAGGAAATTTATGTTTTCTAATACATGCACTTCCCTTACCAGAAGCAAAGAGCAATGCCACTTCTGTTTTGTTGTGTCACCAAAGCCATCATAATGTTATGGTGACCTGCTACTTGAAAAATAACTAACTAGCCTAAATAAAGAACATCTCAGCACAGCTGGGTCATGAGGATGTTTTTTCCGACTTTGGAATAATACAGAAATCAGTTTTATTCTATCTTTCATGCTCGATTTCCATATTCTATTTTGGTCCTGATACTAGTTAAAAATCAGCTTTTGACTTATGCCTGGAATGTTTCACAGCCCAGAATAAACAAAATTGAATGCACATGGAGACATACAGACCTTGCCAAAGGCATAAATTCTATTGAACGAGCCATATTCAATTTAGAATATTCCCAGGCTAAGCAATTCCTATGAGTAGAGTCCTGTGTTGTTTAAAAAATAAAATTCTAGGGTGTCATCTTGATATAAAATTATCCATTTGACTGAACTATATTTGGGTGTCTCATTCCTATTGCACCCTTATACCATTTTTCAGACTGCCCAGTTCAGCTGAGTTTTTAAAAACTTTTTCTGCATCCAGCTACACGCTGCACATTTTGTCTGAGTTGTGCGTTACTTTCATTTACCTTATCTTGCATTTTAATGGTTTCACAATTTTCAGTGAGCCTAGACAGCATTGTAGTTTTGATAGTGGTGTGGGAAAATCCCTTATATTTTGCTCAGTTAAATAAGTAAGAGACCATTGCCTGCACTTGCATCTTGGAGAATAGAACGTGTTTGTCGATTGTTTGTAGGTCTTCCCTATTCTGACTTTCAGCCCTGTCTCAATCTCAGCTTCCTCTCCTCCTGCAGATAATTACCGTTCCTAGGGTTCTCTCAACTCCTTTCCTCTTTGGGGACTTGTGTTCGTTAATATAAAACTCAAACTACAAAAGTCTTCCACCCAGATTCCCACAGCTGTTACGTACTTTTTTTTTTTCCTTATTCTTCTCATCATCTTTCTCTTCCAGCCTTCAACACTGCCTCTTGCTCTCTTTAAGCTCCTGTACCCCCATGCAACCTGTCAACAAGCTCTTGAGAGTTGCTCTGACTGAGCCCGTACAGTCTTCATTGTGGCTGCTCCCCGTGTCTCATACAAGGGCTTGGTTCATAGCCCTGTGTTCCCATCACCAGTTCCTGTCTTTATTTTCTTCTCCTGAGCATCAGCCTCTGTGTGTTATGAGATGCAGATCAACCCTCACTCTGCAAACCATCAGTGCACCTGGTACTGCATTCCTGAGAGCAGCAAAACAATTACTTAAATATTTTGAAATGTAGGGATGAAGCCTAATATTTAAAGCTATTGTCCTCTTGTTAACATAGGGTAATGGTCTGATGGGATAATCTCCCAAGAGGAAAAATGCATAGCCTATAAAATGCATTCATTAAGCTTCCAGAACATGTAAAAGAAGAATAGAGAGACTTCAGTGCTTGTGTTGACTGCGAAACAAAGATATCCTGAAGCTAGTACTGACTTCAGCTGATAAATCCACCCACATGATGCTGCATCTAGATCTGAGCTAGCATGTGAGGGACCAGCTCTGGAACCTCTGCACTTGCCATGCAGTTAATTCACTGCTGGAGAAAAATCCATTGCATTAGATTCAGTAACCTGTTGATCAGCGAGCAGATCTGGCAATCTCTTCTGGATATCTCATGCTTTTTAGTGGCATTTTGAATCCGTTCTCAAGGACTTTGGCTTTTGAACTCAAAAAGCCAAGTCATTATGACCGCATGGTTTACAAGAATTGTGTAGTCAGTGTTTAAAAGAATTACGTAAGAAAAACCTAATTAAATTTTCATTTCATTTGATGAGTTCCTACTGATCTTGTAGAGCAAATATATGCTAGGAATAGGCACTCGGTAGTAATTGTGTTTGCACTGAACTTGTAACTAATATGTATAACCTACAGGTATCGAAACATTTTTCATAATGATGCTTCACAAAAAAATCAAAAGTAACATTTGTTAACCTTTTTGAAGGGATGTCAAGTGCTTATGCACAATCCTGCCATTATTCGTATGTCTCCATTGTGTCTTGAGTTCTCAGAATGCTTTTATTACAGATTAAATAACAAAAGCTTTGACTCAGATGGTGAATAAGAGCATAACATTATAATATTAACTTCACCTTTATTAAAAATCTTGGAATACTAAGTCTGGAAAGAAAGTTGTATATAATTTCTTCTTTATCAGCTAGAGAAGAGAAAACTCTGTGAGTACATGATGCACATCCTAAATCCTGACTGTTCTGGATAAAATACTTTTAGAAAATCTAAAGTAAATGGAAGGACAAACATGGAAAAAAAGCTCCAACTTAAGGCTAGATTTTCAAGGAATTGTAATCTGGATTTTTTTAAAAAAAATAATTTGTAAATAAAAGGCAAAATTCTGCTAAATTTATTGATTTAATAGCTTTGGACATCCTTTTGTAAAACCTAGTTTTAAAATCAGTAGCATCTTCAGTTTGTTAGATGTGTAATTAAGGCATTTGAATAGTAATGTTGCCTAAGGCCATTTCAGAGTTAACCAGAAAGTATTTAGGTGGTGACTGGAACATTTTAACATTTATGTAGAGAGTTTCAGCATCAAGTATTAAGACTTTATAGTTAACATTCAATATATCTGGTAAGTAGCTCTGTGTGGTTTGAAGAAGTAGCCCTGTGCTTCAGAAATTTGTTAAAATATCATTTTTCCACATCTTAATAGTGCTATTTTAATTACTTTCTCCCAGCAGTGTTCTTTCCATACATATAATTTAGATAGCAAGTATATTTTAAGTACCTTAAATTTGGGGGCAGTGGTTAGTTACTGGTTTTTTGCTTGAAGTTGTGAAAAAACAGAACCACCTGGTTTTACTTACATCTCTCAATCTGGAGTAACTGTCTGGCAGCTCCTAAGCAGTATTTGTTTCTCTGATTAAAATCTGATGCATGGTGAAGAAAGTTTATCATTTATTGCTGCTACTTCTTCCCTACTTTGTATATCGCTGTTAAAAAGTTAATTCAGTGTAGAGATATTTGTCTCATCATTAACGAATTTGTTCATGCTGATTTGAATCCTTGACAGGATTAAAAACCAAAACAAAACAAAATGCTTTTTAGCAAGTTATTTTATTCATATGATCCAGTATTTAAAAAAAAAAAATATATCAGCAAGGTATAAAGGTATACATTTTTCACTTTCTAAATGATTTGGCAGTGCTTCTATCTGATGATGAGGTAGGTGTGTTTATAAAACAACTTTCTAGGACTGACTGTCATGGTAAATGAAAAATTACTTTCCTGGTTCTTTACGTTTTCTTCCCCAGAAGCAGTGAAAACATAAATCAGTTGGTAGCTAGCAGCTAATTGCTTAGCACTGACATACTTTAGTCAAGTGGGGGCATCGTTGGTCTTTCACAAATAGGTAATATGGCCAAAAGGATTTACTTGTTAAACTTAAGTGGCTGTGATATAGTAAGTTACTTGTTCTGCCTTTATCTTAATTTGGGAACTCTCTAGGTATAAGGTGCATAAACAGCATGTTTCTTGTGTATATATGCTTTTAATTATATTATATTGAAAAAATAAGTGGGCTCAGTTCTTCCCCTATAATTCAGGCTTTGGATTTATGCCAGTCAAATTCTCTTTAATTACACCTAAGAAGTTTTTAAAGGGACAATATTTTTCTGGTGAAGTGAGTGCTTATTTCTTGAAAACACGAGCTGTGATCAGCAAGTTCTCTGCTGAATCTGGGAAACAGCAGACAGTCATCAGATGCCTGAAATACTTTATTCCATTTGAATTCTTGGTTTGTGCTAACCAAAATGTCAAGCAAAAGTGTCAAAATATGTTTTTGGGAAACGGCCATTATTAGCTAATGATACTTGTTAGAAACCACCCTCAGATAACAATTTACAGCTAAAATTCCTTTTCCATGTAGAAAAAATAAAGCCTGGAAGAGGAACCTCTTGGGGTACGGTTGGAAGTGGCTGCTTAGAATCACCGTGCCGTAATTACCTTTATGCAATCATGTGCTTAAACAGGAAGAGCACAGCTGAAAACTTTATACTGAAGCCTACACAAGATAAGCACCTCAGTCATATGTCGCAGACGCGACGACTTAATCCCCGTGCCGCGATGGTAGATCATGACTCATGGCAAAGTCTGCCTCTGCTATACCTGGCTTTTGATCCCATCGCGGTGTTCTCTTCATTAGAAGCGAAAGGGCTTGTGGGGATGCTTTTCTGTAGCTGCATTTTGGGAAGTCTTTTCAAGGGTGTGTATCACGGGCTGTGTATGTCTATGCTTTAAGTATTTTAAGCATGGTGTTTCCACTGGTATAATTCTTGGCCTGTTCTCCTATGTAGATCTGGAATCCCGTATATCTACATCCTTTGGAGACAATTGCCAAGGGCGACAACTGAAGATAATAACTTGCGATTTGTGTATTTTGTGAGTTACAGTCATTGTAAACTGACAGCTGTGAAGGACCTAAACTCACATCAAAGGATACAGATCATCTAGTTAGGTCAATTAATGTTAATTCTCATCTTCCATTAAATTCTTTTATCTTCTTCTCTCTCTTTTTTTTTTTTTTTTTTTTTTCAGCCAAGCCCAATTCCAAGTCCTGTTTTGGGGAGAAAGCCAAATGCTAGTCAGTCACTGCTTGTGTGGTGCAAAGAAGTTACAAAAAACTATAGGGGAGTGAAAATCACCAATTTTACTACATCATGGAGAAACGGTTTATCCTTTTGTGCAATATTACATCACTTTAGACCAGACCTAATGTAAGTTGAATACTCTTTGCCTGCATAAGCTAACTCGTCATAGAAATATATATAACATTTATGTTTATGTAAAGATCAAATCGCTGTTCAAGTGTTGAACTGTTTTCACCCTTTTCTTTCCAGCAGGGAACCATCCTTTGTAAGAAAACAGATTTATGACTGCTCAAACTTTATGACCTCTTTGCTCTCCCTTGTTGCATAAACAATTGTTTCTCCCCTCTCTGTGATTTGTTTTTCTTCTTCTTAATCTTATACAAAGAACTGACTTCAAGATGATTATGAAAATTGTGCCAATGTTGAAATGAGATGAGAGGAATAAGCCTGTAGCTCTTTGTGTGCTGACAAGGACGGATTACCTCCTGGTAAATTTGGTTGTCAAGGCTGGCCTCTAGTCCCTGCCTTAACTTCTTTTTTAGATGGAAAGCTTCAGGCAATGAAACATGTAATCAGCATTTATTTATTTATTTATTTATTTATTCCTTTAATTTTCCACACTATTAGTTTTGTTGATTGAATTGCTGTGAAATTGCTAGTTACTGTATGATATTATTGTATGTCAAATTTTTAGATTCAGTTTGTTTTAAAACTGCTGCTTTTATCAAATACTGTACATACCCACTGTGCCATTTTCCCCCTCAGTGACTACAAGTCCCTGAATCCTCAAGATATTAAAGAGAACAACAAAAAGGTAAGAACTGCCAGGGGAAAAAAAAAAAAAGACATAGCTTCAATTTTGGCTTCGCTGCAGGTTTTTATTAATTTTGGGAAAGTGCGATTGTTTTGTAAGATCATAACGGCGGCTCACAGAAGGTATTCAACCTCCCACAGTTCAAATCGGATGCATTATTGACTCTTATTTGTCGTAGTCTTTAACATTCACAACAAGTGCAAGGCTGGCATTAGATTTTAATATTTGCATGTCCTACATTAACTACGAAAGGTGAGGAAAGGGCCGGCCAGCCTTCTGTGATCATTCCTCAGATTTTTCCAATCAGCCACATAATTAAAAAAAATTAAAAACGTAACTGCTGTTGGATTGTCGTACGCGAGACTTCTCTTTCTGTTGCTTTAATGGGTCTCCATGTATCGGTTGCAGTTGATGTTGCTTTGGTGATTTTTGTGTTTTTAAAGGTGACGTTTTAAACCTACTTTTATACTGCACCAGTGGAGTGAAGTGGTATATGCAACGTGGAAAGTCTGGGATTAAAAAGTGTTGAGACAATACTTTGCAAATAAACTGAAATATTAGCAAAAGTTTATAGCATTGTGCTGAGCAGCTGTTTTAACTACTCTTTGTACCTTTGTGATGCAAAGATGTAAAAAGTTTCTCTGGAAGAAGTAGAAACTTGATTTGGGAATCACCAGAAGACTTTTTATTTCTGCTCACTATTTAGGCAGGTTACAAGCTTCGGTTGGGTCCTAGGGACATGTTTAGAAATTATAATTTTCATATGAGTCACTGATAATAAAATTATTCCTGAAGATCATCTGAAAATTGTTTTTAAGTAGCTGCCTTCTCAGTGCTGTGATTTTTATGCTGCTTTAAAAGCACTAAATTTAATTGAGATGAAGGTATATAAATATACTTTGACTAAATTAATTAGGTTCAATATTATATAGCAAATAGAACTAAATAATATTAGATTGTAGATATGTGGAATTTCTGAAAGAGATTTATTAAAATTCATTTGCATTTAGGGTAATTATATTTTAATGTGCCTGCACACTTATGTATTAGCCAGGGAGTTACTTGTCTTTAAAAATAGTACTTAAGTATTGTAAATAATGAAATATCTCTGAGCTGCTGTTATTTAATGAGTGATTTGGCCAATGATATCTCTTCATAATAATATGGGGTCTTAATGATGACCTAAGTGGATTATCCGTGACATCACAGTGTTTTCTGTGAGTGTATGTTTTTGTACTTCAAGTTTTGTTGAGCGTCTGGGCTAATTAAGATGGATTATAAAAAAATAAGAATAGATTATTAATTAAAAACGTTAGCAGTATGGTCAGTCATCTTGTCTTGATGAAACTGTGATGGCAAGCGGTGAACTTTTAGCCTGTCTCTCTAACAGGATATAGTTCCCAGGACTGAAGAAATAATGATTGTTGTTATTGTGCAGTTTTTTCTTTCATCACTTTGCAAGCCTTCGCCTGACAGCTACATTGAGTATCTCAGTTGCTTCCTGCAGATTTATTTCCTGGTCTCACACAGTTCTGCCTGATAACCCCCCGTGCCCTTGGTTGGAGTGAATGCAGCACTGGCAACAATGGCTGCCTATAAATTCCATGCAGATATGTAACACATTTGACAATGATTCCTCCTAACCAATTAAAATAACATCTATGGATGAATAGGACAATTTTCTTTTTCTGAAGCAGCTCTTTTTTTTTTTTTTTTTTTTTTTTTTTTCCCCTCCCAGGAAAGGAGGTAAGAGGTGACTGGGATCGTAGATTAAAGGTTAACCCGTAAGAGTATGTCTTCTAGAGGTGCATGACCTTGTTTGTATTTTAATTTTTTTTAAAAAAGGAAGAAATCCCAAGAGACAACTATTTCAGTGCAATTACTGTGTATAATTACACATGGAAATGCACTGTTACAAAAGGCACATCATCAGAACTTCTTTATAACTCACACTAGCCATTTGCCGAATTGGTGCTGCCACTGATGCTGAATAAAAAAGGGTATTTACCTGTGACATCTGATCTGGGCCAGTATGTCAGTGTGTTACATAGTTGGGAAGTGGTTGGAATACTGCCTGTGATGCTTGTGCTGATGGATCCCAACTGATGTCTGTCAATCAGTAAATTAAATGTCAGTAAATTAAAAGAAAAAAACACCAACAACAACTTCATCAGGAGAGAGGTAAAAGATTGTGTCCTGAATATACATACGTGTGTGTATGTATTGTAATTTCCACAATATAATTATATCTCTAAAAAAAACCAAACCAAAACAAACAAAAAAAACAAAACCAAAAAAACAACCACCCCAAACCCACAAATAACTACTCCAGATTGCATTAGCGTCAGTCAGAATTCGTACATATATTTTTGGTGAATTGTGCTCATTGCAAGTTCAAATTTCTGAGAGGATCAAAAGAGAAACCAGGATTGTCTTTGAGAAAATTAAAACCATTTCGGGGATACCTTCCCAGCTGACCCAAAGAGTTGTGGTTCTACTTAAATGTCATATGTATCTAACTATCCGTAGAGCCTTCCTAATAACATTAAGCAACTAGTTGTATTTACTATGTCCTTTTGATTATTAGTAAATAATAATTAAAAATGTATTAAAATTACAGCATACCAGCAGTAATGTCCCTTATCAAGAACAGAAATTTTTCCTATTGTTTATGACATGTCCTGCACTTTAAAAATGTAAGCTACTAAACTACACTTGGCTGGAGCTTGGAGGGGATGAAAGAACGAGAAGTGGAAGGGCACAACAGTATGGTTCTAATAATGAATTTCTAGTTTTAATTACATTATTGTTTAGAGAAGCTTGTTTCATTTGAGGATTATTGTGTGGAAATAGTAATATATCTTCTGGATGCACTTTCAATTTTTTGGTGCTTTTTTTTTTTGCCTTTTCCAGTTTTTGACCATTTCTACTAAATTCCTCAATACATTTGAACTCGGTTGTCTTGACAGAATATTCCATTTTGCAAGGAAGGCATCTTTTTAGAATATACATTTAATCAGAATTCAGAATTACAGGGATAGCATTGAGTCAAAATGGAAGAAATTCCTTACCTTTAAGCTGGCAGCCATATTTTTATAACAGACGTTTAAAATATGCTGGAATATCACAAAGCTCCCAGCTGTTCTAACAGTGAGGGAGGACCCAGCACACACTGCTATATGGACACGTACAGAATATACCATTACTATTTATAGAACTAATGTCTGTAAAACATTTGTGTGCTAATCTAGGTATCTAGTGTACTTGAAAAGGAGAAAAGCAAGAATGTATATTGTCCAAAATGAGGAGAGAGGATGGGAAATAAGTACCTGGCATCAGCGGGAAACTATTGTGTTTAATCCCGAGTATCACCAGAACGGAGCAGACAGTAAAATGTCGTTGCAGCTGTATCGAGAATATCCATGATTCCAAATTCTTCTGCTGTGATGTTACCCGTTCTGAGCAAGTGTCTTTCCTGACAACTCTGGAACACTGTCCCCACCTTCATTTTACAGACCCTGGGAGATATTATTGAGATTTAGTTTTATTAGCATATAAATAAGAAATTAGGAGTATAAAAGAGTTCAGGTCAAGTCATGTCTATGGGCTGCTGTGGACTGCTAAGCCTATCCTTAGGTCCTTTCATTCTTCGGACGGTAACTCCCACTACCTTCAGTGTGGACTAACAGGTTATTTATGCCACTGAATCAGCACTGACCCAAACAACAAATCACACTGTTATCTTTGGTCTACCGGACAGCACAGCTGGCTTGCCACACCTTCGTATTCAGCTTGTTTTCTGCTGGCATATGAGCATTCATCATTCCTGGTACCTGCTATGGCTTAGGCTGCCCACCTAAATCCCTGCACTGCTCTCCTTTAGCTCTGCTTTCTTTGTGCTCCTTGTGTCTGTTTGGTTCCACCTCTCTGGTCTCCCTCTCCCCCATATCCAGCCTGATCTTGCTGCTCCAGCTCTGTGTCCCAAGACCAGGTAAATGACAGCTGTCTCTCTTCTACCATCCAATTTCTTTCCATTCCCTCCCACTTGTCATTTTTCTGCTCTTCTGCTACATCTGGAGCTTTGAGTCAGCAAATACAGCAGTCATGTTTTCCACTGCTACTCTTTTATCTAAGCACAGTTCTGCTTTTATAAATGGCATGGCTATCTCTCCTAATGAACCTTCCCAAGAAATGATACCCCACCAAAGACCAGAAATTATTTTAAGCCAAATCATTTTGCACAGGGAGAGCCAGAAAGGCTTACAAATAAATTATTTAGATAATTTCTATGTCTAGATAAGCTCTGTGAATCATTTGTTATAGTGATATAAAAATTACTTCACCAAAAATGCATTGGCAAGTTACACCTGAGTGTGAGGGGAAGCATTCGCATTCAGTATTTCAGGAAGATAAATTCTAGCGCTCAGAAGCAGAGTTTGAGAAGTGGCTGAACTGAAAACTGTTTGACCCTTGAGTAGGGAATGACATTGCAATGGGAATGGGAGTGCCTCCTTTTCTCAGAGCAAGTAAAATAACCAGGCCTGCCGGGAGCCGGCCAGGCCAGACCCACGTTCTAGCTCACTGTTTGAACATTTACTAGTCTGAAAACCAAGAAGATAAAAAAATCATCGATTTCTCTTTCTTTCTTCAACCCTTCTAAAACTAAAGGAGATAATGTAAAACCAGGGCAGAGTTGAAGCCAGCCATGTGTGTTACTGTTTCATTGCAAAAGGACAGGTGTCGTCTGTGTCTTAAATTTAGCATCGTTTTTGTTCAAAATAGTGTAGGAAGAACTGTGACCATTTTAGACCCCTTTAGAAGAGGGTGAAAAGCAGTTGTAGAATTACTGGGGGAGAGGAAGTCCAAATGCTTTAACTGAGCGCATCTATGCTAACAGGAGGCCTTTTTAAAGACTTCCTTGAAACACAATATTGTCTTCCAGGGTTAATCCAGGATAGTAATAATTAATTGTAAATTGAGAAATGGCTTTAATTCTTCAAAACTAGAAAAACCTGATGTACCAAGCCCACTCACTTAAAGGGCTAGCAGAAAGAAGACAAAGTGACCTCACAAAGCGGGAGGCTTGCAAACTGTTTAGCTTTTGGAAAGGCAAGTGAAGCAGGA